TCTGATTTGCACACACATGTGCAGCCTCCCCCCCGGGGAGTGTAAACTGGTATGGGAGGGGGTTCGTTTCTCCCACTCTTTGCACCCACCAGGACTGAGGAAGAGGAGGAGCAGCACCAAGACCTCGAAACGTGGAGCCCCCATTCTCCACCGGGAAAAGAGGTGTTCCCCCTCCGCCATTTTGCTGAGGCCCCTCCCTCCTCACGGTTCCAACTGTCACCTGTCCTGAAGCCCCGCCCCCTCAGCAGCCCAGGCACGAAGCCCCGCCTCCTCAGATTCCAAGTTTCAACGGCCACTCAGGACCAAACCTCTCCCCTTCTGGATCCGCCCTGCCGCTCTCCCATTGGCTACTTAACGTGGCTGCCTCTCAATGGAGGCCCCGCCTTTCTTTACGTTTTTGAGAAGCAGTCTCTGCCCCCACAGCCCGCCTCCTTCATGCTCCACCCCTTCAGCTGCCACTCAAGTCCAAGCCCCACCTCTTCCCAGACTTCCAATGAAATCCGCATGTTATCTCCCAGTAGACAGGAAAGCAGGCAGAGCTGCAGAGCCTTCTGGGTAATTTTAGTTCACAGGTCCTGCCCTTCCTACCTCACAGGGTTGTTGTGAGGACAAAATTAGGAAAAATAGCCAGGGAGATGCCTTGAGCTCTGAAAGAGATATAATATTATAATAATAGCTCTTATAATATCTATCTATCTATCTATCTATCTATCTATCTATCTATCTATCTATCTATCTATCTATCTATCTATCTAATCTATTGATCTATCTATCTATCCCTACCCACCTTATCTACCTACCTACTTTATCTCTCTATTTATCTCTCTATTTATCTATCTATCTATCTATCTATCTTCTCTATCTCAGTTATCTATCCACTCTACCTCTTCATCACTATCATCCTCTCTTTCTGCTATACATCCAGTCTACCTCTTTATCTCTATTGTCCCCTCTCTCATCTATCTATCTATCTATCTATCTATCTATCTATCTATCTATCTATCTATCTATCTATCATCTATTCATCTATCTGTCCATCCATCCATCTCCATCTCTATCCTTCTATCCCTCCCTCCCTGCCTCCATCTATCTATCTACTCTCTCTCTCTATACTCTCTCTTTCTCCTCTCTGTCTGTCTGTCTCTCTCTCTCATCTATCAATATAAATATGTTATAATAATAGGATAATTGGCATGGTGGGTATTATTATTATTATTATTTAAAACTCTGGCCATTAAAATGCATGGTGCAATTTCAAAAGCGTGCTAAGGAAGGTTGTATTTTTCAGAGAAATCAGCCAATGCTTTGATTCTTTGATACAGTTTTGCTGAAATTATATTTTCTATTTCTATTGCACGTTGTTGCAGAGTCGGTTCAGAATTAGGCAGTGCCTAAACTGAATAAACTACCTTAATTATAATTTAGCCCTAATTCCTAGGCATGGTTTGCGGATAAAACTGGAGAAGGGTTTTACTTACTTACTTATTCTATTTGCACAATGACAAAATTTATTTGCTTACTTAATCAATTTGCATATTGCCCAAATTACTTGCCCGCTTATACCATTTGCATATTGCCAATTTATTTGCTTACCTCTTTTATTTGCATATTTCCAAATTTACTTACTCACTTATTTCATTTGCATATTGCCAGATCAATTGATCAGAAAAAGCCAGAACATAAATTTCACCAACATTAAATAAACTCAGGGAGTCATTAACTAGAGCAGCACACAAGTAATATACTACTAATAAATAAAAAAATGACAAAGAGCAAAATAGTTAATAGTATCTCTGGAAAGAAAGGTCAAAGGGCACGCCGAATCTTTGCTGATTGGCAGAAAACACACAGTCAGAAAATAAATAAATAAGCATTCTAGTAAAATTAATTAAAATCTCCACAGCAGGAATGTTTAAAATCAAAATTGTAAACAGAATACTAATAATAGATAACTCAACCAAAATACCAGTTGTGTAATAGTACTAGTGCAGTAGTAGTAATGCAATAGTATTATAATACTAAGACAATTGATAATAATATGGAAAGAAGGTAACAACTTAGAAAACTTTAACCTTAAGACTGTCTACTATTGACCTCACCTCTTTCCTAAGAGGTCTGTGGGGGCCTGCATAAGCGCACCAAGGTGCCTACCGTCCCTGTCCTGTTGTTTCTTTTATTTTTCTTATATGTACCCATTTCATGTATTCATAACTATGTATATACTTATACCTATTATCTTGTAAGCAATTGACAAAAACAAACAAACAAACAATTAAAAGTAGTAGTAATAATAATGATGATATGGGAAAAAATAGATAACACACACAAATTGCAGGGCAACAATGGAACAGCGTGCTGTAATTAAACTGATTTTAAAAGCAACAATTTATTATAGTGTTTAATTGCCTATTCTAGGATAGTCGTTCTCACAAGAGGCATAAATTTCAACTCCCGAAATTCCCCAGCCAACATGCTGTCTGGGGAATTCTGGGAGTCGAAATCCACCCATCTTAAAGTATCTGGCTGAGGAATTCTGGGAGTTGAAGTCCACCTATACTATCTGGGGAATTCTGGGAATTGGAGTCCACCTATGCTGTCTGGGGAATTCTGGGAGTTGGAGTCCACCTATGCTATCTGGGGAATTCTGGGAGTTGAAGTTCACCTATGCTATCTGGGGAATTCTGGGAGTTGAGTCCACCCATGCTATCTGGGGAATTCTGGGAGTTGGAGTCCACCCATGCTGCCTGGGGAATTCTGGGAGTTGGAGTCCACCCATGCTGTCTGGGGAATTCTGGGAGTTGGAGTCTGCTGGGAAAAGGACTAAGGGCTCCCACCTACTCCAGGTGGAAGCTCCACCCCCTCTGCTGTAGCTCTGCCCATCGTGGTCCTTTGCCTGGCCTTCCTCTGCCTGTGGGCCGTTGCCCGGGGCAACCAAGCAGCAGCCAGAGGGATGAAGGCAACTGCCAGGCCACTGGCAGGAGCATCGGGGCCTCTGTGACCCCTCGATTAAGTGGGTTCAGAGCCCTCTGGGGCACCAGCCCTCCCCAAGACCCTCCTGGGGTCTCTGGAGCAGCAGCTACTTCCCCCCCCAGGTGAACTCCCCTCCTTCCCCCCCAAAAAAGGGCCTGCTGAGCCATTTCCTCAGGGTATACACACACACACACACATATATATATATATTTAGGACCTGCATAGCTTGGTCTTTTCAAGGACAGCATTTATTTTGTCTGTATTTTATTTTATCTGACTTGCTTTTGGAAAGCTGCCCATTAGATTTATTTCATTTCAGGATTGATTTCCTCGCTTCGGCTCTTGAATTTTCCTCTGTGAAAGCAAAGTTATAAACATAAAGAATGACAGCTTTATTATTTCTTTCAGGTTTTCCAACCCCTTTTTTTTTTTGAGGCCTAGCCTTTATTTTCTGGCAAGAAAACACTGCAGATGTAACGATGTAAACTCTGGGCCTTCTTTGACTTTTTTTTTTTTACACCCCTGTGAACAATCCACTAAGAGTGTCTCTGACCATGTGCAGAGTGCCTCCCCTTGTCAAAAAGCTGGCTCCACAAAGGCATCCTCATGCGATGGGGTATCTCTTGGCATCCCGTCGCTTCATGAGGTTCTGCAAAGATGGTCTCCAAGGTGCCCTTTGTCTTTGCCCTTGCCTGGGGCTTTCTTTCTTTCTTTCTTTCTTTCTTTCTTTCTTTCTTTCTTTCTTTCTTTCTTTCTTTCTTTCTTTTTTCTTTCTTTCTTCCTTCCTTCCTTCCTTTCTTTTTTCCTTCCTTCCTTTCTTTTCCTTCCTCCCTTCCTCTCCATTTTTCTTTCTTACTTTCTTTTTTCTCTCTCTTTCCTTCTTTCCTTCCTTCCTTCTTTTTGCTTCCTTCCTTCCTTCCTTTCTCTTCTTCCTCTTTCTTTCTTTCTTTCTTTCTTTCTTTCTTTCTTTCTTTCTTTCTT